CTTGTCTCCCAAGCTTGTCTCCCTTCATGATTTCGCTCTTGGCTGCCTCTGCCGGCTTGTCTTCCGAGCTTATCTCCCTTCATGATTTCGCTCTTGTACCGCTGCCGCCTTGTCTCCCAATCTTGTCTCCCTTCATGATTTCGCTTTGGCTGGGAGCCTTCTGCTTTGCACAAGCGATCCGTACTTTCCAACTGCGAACTACGGTGTCTAACTTTTCTTGAAATGCTATCTGGGGTCTACGCCGGTATAATCTACATTTTTGTACGGCTTTTTCAACATTACATTTTTTTGCCTTGCTTGCATGTTTATAACTGCTCTTTTTATATTTCCCCGCCTGTCAGGTGAGGGTTGTTAGATTTTACGTCAGCCCCATCTCCTTCTCCTCCTCCTCCTCCGCGTCCTCCTCCTCCGCCTCCTCCGCCACACCTCAACCACGACCACCCACGCCCAGTATTCCCTGCCGGACCTCAACCACAACCATCCACGCCCAGTGTTCCCTGCCGGACCTCAACCACGACCATCCACGCCCAGTGTTCTGTGCTGGACCTCAACCGCGACCATCCACGCCTCCACTACAGCACGCAACCACAACCACACACACAACCACAAAAGCAACCACAAACACAAACACACAACCACAAACACAACGACAAACACATCCACAAACACACAATCACAAAGAGACAACCACAACCACAACCACAACTACAAACACACAGTCACAACCACTACCAGCACCAAAACACAATCACAAACAAACAGCCACAAACACAACTGCAAACACATCCACAAACACACAATCACAAGCACACAGCCAACCACAGACACACAACCACAAACACACAACCGCAAACGCACAACCACAAACACACAACAACTACAACTACTACAACAACAACAATAACTACTACTACTACTACTACTACTACTACTAAAACAACATAGACCGTAACTCAATTTCAAGTGCGCTTTAAACATGGACCACTGGAAACGGTGACTTCCTGGGGAAACGGTATTAGCGTCTTTTTTGGCAATTTCTGGAACCTCACTAACATGGACCGTTCCCACTCTCAGTCTATGATCGATTTTGACACTAACATGGACCAACTGCACTCTGACTATAAACTGAACGCAGGCTAACATAGACCACGCCGGTAGAGATCAACATGGCCCGGCGGAGGCTAACATGGACCGTGTCACATACCTGTAGGGGCCTCCTGAACATGGTCTACGTTAGTCTCAACCGAGGTACTGCAGGTGCAAAACTAGACAGCTCTTTTAGCACGGTGGAGGCCAACATGGCACACTGGAAACGGCGCATTCCTAGGACATATAGGATACTGGGATTTCGAGCGTCAGCAGCCAGCAAGCCCTAACATAGAAGAGGCAAAGAAAAACAGGACAGTGTGGAGCAGCGTGGAAGCGAGAAGATATGGGCCCTCCCAAAGGTTAACGGTTAACATGGACCATTCCCACTCTCGCTACTCTCAGTCCACGGTCCAACCTGACACTGAGTTTTCCAGATATCGAGTGAGGCATGTGGCTAACATAGACCACTTCCACTCTCAGTCCCTGGTACACACTGACACAAACTTTCCACAAACCTTCCGACTGACAACGACGGATCAACTGGATCGCACTCTCGTGGATCGGTTGGTGCGGAAAGCTCAGCGTCTTGCGCCAATCGAACAAAATCAATGGCTCGTCTTGCCACACGTTGGACGGAGGGTTCACAGGCTCTGATGGTCGCACGGAAGTGGTCGGATCCACCTGCTCGGTAGGCTGTGGCCTTTCCTTCGGCCGTGGAGCAAGCAACACAGGTTGAACTTCTTCTGTCAACCGCGGCCTCGATGCGGACCTTGCAGTCGCCGGAACCGGCGGCACACGAGGAGCCGGAGGTGGCGGGGGCAAGTTCTGCAACTCTAGTTTCCTTGCCGCTTCGGCCTGTTCAACCTCTTCCTTGCTTGGAGCTGGAGGTGGAGTTGGGATAGCCTCCAACCCCCGTCGAAGCCCGGACGCCGACGCGCGCACGCGATGGTTCGCCAACACCAACTTCACGCACAATGTCACCAGCCTCAACCAGCTCTCTCTTTGTCTTGGCCTTAGCCGATGTAGCCTTTGGAGGTGGTTTGACACGCTCTTCAACCGGAGGCTTCTCTTCAGTCTGATCCTCGCTCACCGACGGCGATGGCTTGCTTGCGGACGGGCGAGCAGCCTTTGTGCGAAGTTCACGAGCTCGTTCACGAAGGGTGTCAGCCTCTGCCGATGCGGAGAGTTCAGTGGCTGCTTCTCCTGCAGGTACCAACCTGGGGGTTGGCCGTTTCTTTTACAGCCCAGAGCCAAATAAACAGCCTGGGACGTTTGTTGCTCATGAGAAACAGCCTCGGCCGTTTCTCGGCGCGTGACCCTCATGAGAAACAGCCTTGGCCGTTTGTTCGGGCGCCCCCCATCATGAGAAACAACCTTGGCCGTTTGTTTGGGCGCCCCCCATCATGAGAAACAACCTTGGCCGTTTGTTTGGGCGCCGCCCGTGCATGAGAAACAGCGTCGCCTGCAGGCATAGGACTTGCTAATCTTCTACGTTTTGGGGGCACTCGATCTTTTAGATCAAGGGCATATTGAAGAATGCATTTTGCACTTTATGTGCGTATGCAAAAAAGATTTAAGGTTACATATGATTGGCATCCCCAAAATGTTTTGGAAACACTCATAAAAGTGTACTGTTTTTTTGAAAACATTTTCTTGAAAACCGTTTTCTGACCTTCAAACCGTTTTCGTAACATAGGGTTTCAAGAAAACCCAGGGGTCCGAGGCGTTGGAAATACACAAGTGCGGAACATGCTTGACATTCACACCCACGATCGCGAGTGAGGCCTGCGTATACAAACCGTGCCAGATCAACGCATATACCAGCGCCATGTTTCACATATATGACCCAAATTGCAGAAACACATGTTGTAAATTTCCAATTCACATGGTGAAACTTCTTAACTCGTGCACGCGCCAGTTCTTTTTTAATATCTCTCCACTGGAGTGCCCGCTTCAATGCGTACCTTCGTGACCACGACCGCATGTAGTTGCCTCCGTGGCAACTTTGACAGATGCACCTGATCTTGTGCATAAAATCTTCATCAGAGAATGTACTCAAATGCATAAGGCACAACTGTGTAGCGGAGAAGTGATCCACCATGTGGCAGAAGTAGTGTGTCTTCGGCCGCACCTTAAACAGCAGTTTCCTCTCCGCGAGGCACTGACACGCCAGCCACTGGTATGAGGCTGAGTGAAGATGACATAACCATGTGGTCTCGTCCACAATATCCCGCGCCGTGAGAACCTTGCCGTTTTTGCTCCAAAGACTTAAGGCTAGATCTAGAGACCAGCAAGAAATCGCCCGCATTCGAGCCCGCTGAATGCCCTCTGCAGTTCGCAGCACGGACGAGTCGGCCAGCCTCGTCATGATGAAGGTCGTGAAAGCAAAGAGTGTTCGGGCCTTCGCAGCCTTAATCCGCGTGTCAAGCGTCGCCATCGGCCAATGTGTGTATTTGGGTCTTCCCAACCTGGCCATACTAAGCGTGCCAATGTACAATTGCATGCCCTCGAGTTTAGCCCAGCAAGATGCGTGGTGGCTGAAAGAATGAAGAACCTCGTCCCACGGTCGACCCGCTAAGCCGTAAAAATGGGGTAGTGTTCCATCCTGCAAGGAGTCAATGATCACCGACGGAATCAAGTCCCTTAAGGTGCCTAAGTGCACTATATGCAGCAAGTCAAGAAGTCGCTTATCCTTTTTGAAGCGTGGCACCTGACACCACGGCGACGTGTCATTCGGGTCGGACATCGTAAGTGCGCTCCTCCACACTGCTCTCAGCGAAAGGCTTCCCCAATTGAGCTCAGGCGCTCTTTTGTCACAAGTAGCCAGGCAGAAGTCGCAGCACTGGTTGCATCTGTAATAGCGCTGGGTTTGGACCAAGTTGTGAGCGTAAGCGTGTGCCTCCATGTCGCCCTTCCAAAAGGCAAAAGCCTGGGCCAGCACGCTTGCACGTGTGAGATTGGCGCGAAGAACGCTGGCAGAAAAACATTTGGTTGTCCAATTAGGATTTTATATCAGACACGAGCGCACCTTTGCATATACAACACCAAACTTTTAATTTCAAGACTTCACCCATATGTTGTATAAGTCCTAACTTCAAATGATTTACGATCGATTTGACACATGGTGTTGCGTGTCACGCACGCACGCCAACCAAATGAATCTTTTTGGAACCAACGCAACTTAATTTATGAACAGGTTTGCGCCCAGTGTTTCTAAGAAGCTTTTACCATGGCAAAAACATGAACATGTCGACGTATAATATATTGAATGGGGTTTTCGCCCCCAATATTCATGTCTTTCAAGGGGTAAACATACATGTCGTCATGTTTATGAGGTTTATGGTAGATTTTGGAGAAGTCTATGTCATGTATACATGTAGAAACACCAGGAGAGTTGTAGGGTGATTAGCGTATAGCTCGAGACGCTGTGTGTGGAAACCTTTCACTACCCTCAACACAAAACTAATGAATCAAGCTACTGCTTTCATTGGCAGATAATCCCCTGCTTGCTTTTCCCGCGCGGAGCCTACTGCATGAAACATTCCGCAATGGTTGACGTAGTCATACAAACCAGATTCCAGCTGCCTGAAGTCCCAGGCCAGGATGCGGCAAATTTCAGATCTAGTCTCGGCCGTAACGTGAGGGGTGCCCAGAACAGCTATCGTTTGTTTGGTCTTCCATGAATCTGCGCGAACACACCCGGTGCTCCAGCTCCAAACCGTAGCGGTGCTGCCTGCATGTTGGATACCATGTTCAAAAGGGCAATCAAAGAATGGACAGAAACCCAAAAGGATGTTTGTTCTCCTTGGGTTTGACACCAAAGCCAAAACATAAAGTTTGATCACGCGTGCATGGTAAGTCACCTGAAAAATGAGGCACTGCATCCTCATGGATGATGATTGGAACATGTGACGAAACCAACTCGTCACATCCACACGCGCGCCACAATGCATCAAAATCCTCGCGGGACCCCAAGCATTCAGTGATTACCTGCCAGCTCAAACCAAAAGGTTTTGCGAGCAAACTATTGGCGCAAAACTCCAACAGATGCAGTGGACAAAAGTCTTTTTCATATTGGGCTAGATACGTTTTCACCTTGATGAAAAAGAGCTGTAAGGTGGTCACTCGGCAAGATCATTGAAATTTCACGCGAACCAAGGCCACCAAAGGCCGACGTGGCATCAGCATCTATCTTGGCAGGGACTGTAGCTCTGTAAATGGGCAAAGGAAGAATCACCCACTTGAAGAAATCACGCTCGCGGGAAGTTGCCAGCTGTTTGACACTGGCCTGCGCACACAGCGGTAATTGTGGGAGAGCTGTAGGTTTAAACACACCAGGCATGATGCGCAAGTGTACACACAAGTTTCATCAGTGTCAAAACCCACACCTTAACGCAGCCATCGCGGGCCAAATTTCCAGCAAACTCAGCAGCTCCAGTCATAGAAAGTTTACCCTCTGCAACGCGTTCTGCGATCCCAAGAACAGCGGCGCTATCCATATCGTCAACCGTCCTCAGCGTCAAACGCAAATTACATTCCCCTGAACAAAAACGCAAGACAAAATCCATTCTCAAACAAAGCAACCCCCAAACAGTCCCCAAACAGTCTTAGTGGTTTGGATCCACGTGCCAGCAAGTAACATCTTTGTCCGATATTTTTTGCGAGCAATCTCATTAGGTTCCTCAACAGGCCTGCGTGGGCATCGGTTCAATTTGGAGAAGCATGCCAACGGCGGAGCACGAGGTACAAATCAAAAGCGTTGTTTTTCTCCTGAGGAGTGACGCGCAACACCTCGAAAATGACAAAGTTAAAGAAAACCCCTTATGGTTTTTCACCGCAGCAATCGCAGTAGCTCAACCTAATGAACGCTGCGCAGCCTCGGAGCGTGGCCCCTTGCCACTTGCATCCCACGGCTCACTCCCAAGCTGAATATGGTGGTGTCAGCCTAGGCTTCGGAACCACCCCGCAAATGGGAAAACGATCCAGCTACAAGGGCGCTTGCCCAATCCAAAAACAACGATCGCTTCACAAAAGCGCCCAGCTCCTTTTCAAACATGGCATCCCATGAATGAACAGCAACAGATTGCGTGAGACGAGCTTGGACAACTGTAGGAAAAATAAACTGCTACAGTAGAGTCTGTAGAGCTTCGTCTTGGGGCTGGGTCCAACAGTAGCGATCCTAGGCTGCGGCTTTGGCTTTTGCCTTAGCCTTCCCACCTGGTTTCTTATTATGCTGTCGGGCAATTGCCGTGCCAGCTGCCATCGGCTTCTCAAAATGCTTCTGCAAGGCGATGAAATCCTTCACGAGAGGGATGTACTCGTGTTCCTGCAAAGTGGGGTAGCGCACATGATATGTGTCTCGAATTGCTCCAATATAGAATGTAATGCAGTTTTGCGCAAATTCAAATTTCAGAATGATGCTGTTTGCTGTTTGCCGTTTGTCCTCGTTCTTCTGCGCAGAGACCATGGCTTGGATCTTCAGGTACAACTCCCTGCAGTGTGATAGTCGTCTCAAAGAAGATCTAACAACGTACAAACTTGGAAACTGGACACGTGTTCAGTCCAATGGAAACACAATGTCTCATGGTGACACGTTTAAAGAATAACGCGGTTGAGAAACTCAAACTCCCCAGCAAACTTGTTCATGTCCACCCGCAGCTGCTCACAGTATGGCAAGGCTTGCAGGGTGAGCGCGAGATTGCTTGCGTCCGACTTTTTTTTCAGCAGCTTCTTGCACATGTCTTCTGCTTTTTGCAGGGGGGTGAGGGTGCCAAGTTCCTGGGGTTGCTTTCTGGGTTTCTTTGGCGGCTTCCGTTCCTCTCCCTGTCCCTCTTCCTGGTCCTTGTGCTGTGGGGTGTTGGGAGCAGGAGTACCTGGCGCTTTGGACAGCGATCTTGGGGTTGCAGACCCATCTGAACCGAGGCTCCTTTTGTTGGACTTGGGCTTCACTGGAGCCCAGTTCCTCAATTTTTCTTTGACCAAAATGTTGTTCAAAATCGTTCAACAACATGTGCACCTGAAGAAGTGAATCAATGAATCAAGTGTCAAGTGTTTCACAAAATGCCATCAAGAATCATAACGTCGGCAATAGCATTTGCATTGTCCTCATCCATTGTGATCTTGCTGGTGGCCAAGATCCTGCCTCGTGGTACCCACATATGGGGCGGTATTCATGTGTGCATAGAGACACTGTATGAGAGAGAAGTGTACTACTGACAGAGAACGTGTTTGTCAAATGCGCTCACCACAAGTGAGCAGCGCGCAATAACAACAACAGAAAACCAGTCATGGAAGGCATCTTAAGTCGAAGCAGAAATTAAGACTGACGTGCCAAGATGCCGGACCGTTTGTAATTCTCCGTTCCTTCCGACTTCTTCGCAAACAGGTAAACGATACCCTCCGGGTTGTTCTCGTCCTCCTCTGTGAGTCCCATCTCTTCCTTGTGTTTCATCACCTTCTCTGCGTCCTCTCCGTAAATGTCCTGCATTTGCTTCTTGGTGTACCGAACCGCCTTCTTTCTTGTCATCTCGACAGTGCCCTTTTCCTCTTGGAACTGCAAGAAGGCTTGAACTTTCTCCAAATTGCCCTGGTTCTCCACAAGAATGGTGATCAATTCGGACTTCTTGCTCTCATCAAACACCATGTTGTGAAGGGACGGCAGTTTGTTCAGTCGATCCGGGGCCGCCTTCAACCTGTTCAGCATGTTGGCAGCTGCGCGGCGAGTGTAAACCGCATCTTTGGGGGGAGGCATGGCGGCAGGAGCAGGGAGGGGCAAAGCTTTGACAGTTTGGCTGATGTCCTCAAACGTTTGAAACGGGTTCGGAGGCGCAGCTGCAGGTTGTTGCCCCGCACGGCTCTGAGCAGGTGCATGTTGAGGCACCATGGGGTTTGAAGCTGCAGGTGCCATGGGGGTTGGAGCTGTCGGCGCCAAACTTGGGCTTGGGACAGGCGCAGGGGCCGGAGCTGTAGGCGCCAAACTTGGGCTTGGGACAGGTGCAGGCACCATG